TATATATATATATATAATATACATAGTGCTCAAAAATATAGAAACACGATGTTATAAATCGTATCAAAAATAGTTCATCAACGTGAGTTTTATGGTTGTATGAAAAAAGAGGTGTCTGATGGGAATTGAACCCGCAATATCTAGCTATCTCAGCGAGTGTCATACTATTTAGACAACAGATGCAGTGGTGGCGCTGGGATTTGCCCGACGTGAGGTCCGAGGTCACTAACGAAGAATGGGAGGGGAGGGGGAATGGTGACGTCCCCGACGAAAAGAATGGGTGTGGTCGGGCGTTGCTCAAAAATTTCCATTACGTGTACCGGGCGCGGTACACAAAATATAGCCCTCAAAATATGGCAATTTAAGGGTTTCAAAGGCTTAATTAACCGATTTTGGAGTCTACTATTATATGTAGAACATGCATATACTTTTTTGTTCTCCTTGATGACGCTCCGACGCGCCACCCCTAAACAGAGGCCTTTACGATACAATTACGGATCTAAGACCACCAATCTCTCTCCCTTCATACAGCTTGAATGCTCATACATAATGGAGCAAAGTTTTTTTAAGCTAGGTATTAGCAAATAGGTAGCAGCTGGTAAATCATGGGAAATAATATTCCGTAGAGCCCACAAATATAAAACTAACCAAAACTGTAAAATCATTGTACCCGCAAATGTCAAAATGACCACAAATGTTAGAACATGGTAACTATAATTAAAAAATAAACGTAAAAGTAAAAGAATGCAACCACAAGTGTAAAGTAAATCTGTCTAACCACAAATGTAAATATATTTCCATTTTTACCTCAAATGTAATAACATGTCAACCGCAAATGTAAAAAATTAAGTTATTATCAGATGTATGAGTATGTGTCAGTGAAGTTTTCCTAAAAATGAAATATTAGAATTTTGGTGTCCCGAAGAACAATTCTTTAGCAAGGAATCAATACTGTTGGCTTATACACATCTAGATGTGTATAAGAGACAGCACCACACCACCACTTTTTTTGGAAAGGAAATTTTTTTTTGTTAACAACCAAAAATGTGTTTACGCCTAAAAAGTAGAAAATACACAAGTTGTACAACGATTCTTGGTACTCCAGCCATATTTGCTTATAAAAAATATTGTTCCTTGTAGTCCAAAAAAAATTTAAAAAAAAAATACTAAAATGCCGACCTGAATTTCGTATAATTAATACGTTTATTTTACATCCCTGTTTGGGGCCATTAAAGGCAATTATAACGTATTGAACATACTAATTTGTATGTACAAAACATATTCAGTTCTTTTTTTTTAAAATAGTGCCGGGGATTGACACAATAGTTGTGTGCAAGTAAAATACGCGGACACCATTTATATTGTAAGCCGGTAATTAGGGTCCTTCAATATTTTAAGAAATTTAATGCGTATGAAAACCTTGCACACAAACACACCCATACATCTAATAATAACTTATCTTACAATGAGTATTTACATTTGCAGTTGACATGTTATGGCATTTGAGGTAAAAATAGATTTTTTTACACTTGTAGACAAATGTTTTTGTTTTTTTTTTGTTAAATGGATTATTGTGTCTACTGCTCCTTTTGGGTTAGTAGACACATTGCTATCGTCTGGCAATTGACCATGTAAGAGTAAATCCGGTCGGTGAATGGTGAGATTGGTCATAAGCTAAAGATAAAAATGAAAAGTAAGTTTACGAAATATGATGTCATGCTAAATAAGACCTGTCGTAGAATGAACTAAAAAGTCAACAATCTGTTGCTTGTACAATTCTTCAAGTGAATCACCAACACAGGAATCGTGGATACTTAAAAGTAGCCAAGAAATTACGTGAAAGTAGTAGACACACGCTCTCGCTGGGAGCCTATTTGTACACTTGTGGGTGAAATTTGTTACATCTGTGTTTATATTTACATTTGTGGCTTACGTGTTATGACTTTTGAGGTTATTTTAAAATGTATTGGTACAGAGCCTCTAAAGAGCTTGCATTATTCGTCTAAGTGTACGGTGCCAACCAAGTCTTTGTTCTGCAATAATCATTTTGCTTATCAGCAGATCATGTTGTGTCCTACATTATTATAACTACATACACTTTTCTGATTGGTCAGAATTTATTTCGATTCCTGTTAAAGTGAAGATTGTCACCTTTTTGGAATAGTCATTCTTGACAATGTCTGTTATTTTTCGGAGTCACCATACTCATATCCTATTTGCGTATAATCAGTAGATCCTTTGGTTTGTTTGGGTGCAATGTTTTTACATTATTGGTGATTCGCTTCACGGCGGGTTACCTCTTGTTATCGTCAGTGATATTTTTTTTCATTCTACATTTCTCCCCATTTTTTGTTCGCACGATATCTCAAAATTACCGTGAGCTACGCACATGGCAGCTGAAATGAATATTTGGCTTGTTCTGGAATAGTCACAAAAACATTTTCAATGTGCTCAGTCATGCGTGACGTCACTTACGCGCAATTTTGCGTTTTTACGTTATCGATCATATGTTAACCAATCATTTCAAAAATCAATTTCAGTGGGCATAACTTGAATGTCATGTATTTTAATTTCAGGCGCACGCGCCATTATGCGCACGTACGCGTGCGTACATTTTTTAAAATGCCGAAAAAATCACTTTTTGACTAAATTAGAGCACTTTTTAAGCCATTTTGAGCATTTCAGTTTTCTTTTCCAAATTTTTCGCAATGCGCGCATTTTTTAGACGTGTAGCACCTACGGAAGCTAATTTTCCAAAACCATGCCTATTTTCAATCAGTTATAGCTTCTTAGGATGAAAGGTGACCTCAAATTTGTATTACTTATTCTTTAAGCACACGAGTTGTAGATTTTATAGATCATAATGGTTGATCGGACATTGTGACGTCATCATATTGCCATCTGAAATCAAAGAAACTGAATTTTTGTATAAATTATGACGTCATTTGTTAAAAATACTTATTTGAACGTATCTTGCCTATTCTTGATCGATCGTCTTCCAGCGTGAAAGTTCTCTTTCATAAATGTGACTTCGTTTACATTTTGATGATAATCAAAATAAATGTTCTTTGCTGACCCCCTCATCTATCATCATAACCAATTGATATTTCTAGATTAATCAGAGGGCAAAAAAACTTCGGGTCAAGGTTGAATGTCTTGTACATTTATTTTTCCAACAAACGTCGTAACGTACGCGCACGCGTGCGTCAAAAGCCTAAAATGCTCAAAATTATGCATATATTATAATTTATCAGTTATAACTTCATAGGATGAATGGTGACCCAAATTCTTATTGCATATTCTGGAAGCACATGAGTTTTAGATATGATTAAATTAGATCATTTTGGCTGATCGTACACTGTGACGTCATCATATTGCCATCTGAATTTTTTTTTAAAAATTATAAATGACGAATAATTTTTAATTTTTATACGGATTTGACCGTATCTCGCTTATCCTTTATCGACCGACTCCCACATTGAGTATGTTATAGCTGAGACAATTTCCTTCCGCAATATTTCGTTCATTTTTTACTTTCATGACGTCATCATGGTCAAAAGGAAGGTTTTTCTGACCCCTCCTTCTCTTTCTATTTAAAAATCTTTGATGACCCAAGAGAAGGCAGCAGATTTAATATTTAACTGCAGTTTGACAGCCATGGCTATTGTATTTTTCCATAATTAATACTTTTTTAAGTACAGAGAGATTTCTTTTACTCGACAAGCGGATCACCTAACTCGTCCTCAGTGACGAGTTCAAATCTAGTGGTGATTTTTACATTTGTGGTGGATTTTTACATTTGCGAGCTCTACACGGTTTACCTACCTATGGCACATTTTTGTAATGATATACTTATATCGTCGACAGCTATATCTCCTCTATAACCAGCGCTGGATGCTTCTAATATAATCTAAATTTCAAAACAAATAATTTGCTTTAATGCACATTATTAATCTTATTATTATTATTATTATTATTATTATTATTATTATTATTATTATTGTTGTTGTTATTATTATTATAATTATTAATATTATTATTATTATTATCATTATTGATTTATTATTATTAATTTTATTATTAATAATTCTATTAATATTATTATATATTGTTTGTTATTATTGTTGTTGCTGTTGTCGTTGTTATTATTATTATTATTAGTAGTAGTAGTATAATAGTATTAGTAGTAGTAGTAGTAGTTGTTGTTATTTGAGTCGTCGTTTTAAATTCGAGGCCTCTCTAATGGTGGCGGCGACAAACGACTTTAGTAGCTATGGAAGTGTGTATTTACATGTACGCATAAAGCCATAAAACTTAATATATCCTTACAATGTCAGTGTCAAAGCATAATATAGGATGACGCTATATCAACATTTTTCCAACTATCTTTGCCTAACCTTAAAATTAAGTGTCTCAGTTATGGTGACGTGTCCAGTTTTCCACACGTTAACCCCACCACCGGTTTTAGTAAAGACTTCTGTTTCAGTAGTTTCTCCATTTGGTGAGAGGTAAATATTTAGGCTCACGATGTGCTGGCCGTACATATGGTACCAGAATACCAGGCACCTGTCACGAACCTGGTTCGATGAACGTATAGTTGGTGTTAGCATTCGAACAGTATATTTTACATCCCAACCAAAACCATGAGTGGCTTCAAGGTATACATAGTGTCCTGGAAAAATATTAAATATAGACAAACCAATGTCTAGTAGTAATAACATATCAATTTGGTTTGAACATTTTAAATTTTGTTTGATCTCATATAGTAGGTTCTGAAGTGATTGTTTACTGTTATATATATATTAACACTCACCTTGAGGTGTCCCAAGGGTATGGTCTTTCGATGGTCCTGTCCTATATGAATTTGTTCGGCCGCTGTTCCGTATCCAATTACCATCATCATTAATAGATTGATCCATACAAAAAGATTCTTCAAAATCACACGAAAAATCTTCGAGAAGAAAAAATTGTTACTATTGTCTGTAATAGGGTCAGTAAGTTTAGCTGATAATATTATTAAACCTACAGCCTGTGATAAAACGCTGAGGGCATCTTACCGTAAAGCTGTTTAGCCAGCAGTACTGTAGAAATGCAACAAGAAAATACGACACACAAATATATATATCTTACTACATTTTACTGTACACACACTGCACTATTCATTTGCTCTTTAAGAATGTTCCCACTAGAACTGGGAACTCTAATTATATATATAATTAGGGCGTTATAACGCCGTATTAGGACGTTATAACGCCCTGATAATTTTTTTTAATTTTTTTTATTTATTTTTTGCTGTTTGGCGGATATCAACCACCGTAGAAATGTGATTCACTCTGGTGCAGCAAACTGTGAGCAGATAAAGGACAACCGCGAAAGAACAAGCTATTTGAGAAAGGAGTGTCAACAGGCTGCCAACACTTTACCAATCATCACCGATTTCAGATGCCCAGTCAACCAGAGAATCTGCCTTTCAAGAATTGGACTACATAGCCACCAACGAATTCACCTAACCTGAATGTACCAAGTGGACATCTTACTCGTTATTGAGGGATTATCAATGATGATTATGATCAACGTTTCATATGATTTCATTCATTAGTTCACACCTCAAAAATGGTCATGAGACTTCTAAAGAAGTTATTACTTCTATGATTCTCGGAGAGCTAAAAGTCCAATTTATTATTGTTATTGTTATAATAATATATTGTTATTAATATCATTATTATCTCCGCCAAGACATATGTATTTCGTTTCGTGATGTTTGTGTGTGGGTGTGTGTGTAACACTTTGCTGTTTCAGTTTTATTTCTTGTGTTCGAAATATTTCAAAAACGGCTGCACAGACATAATTGAAAATGACAGGGTGGGTTAGGTAAAACCCAATGAAGAAATTATAAATTTTGTGACAGTCTGGAGTAGGGTGTGAATGTGAAGACCATTTTAAAGGAATTTGTCTTAAACAACTGATATGAATGAAACTTTCGTGAAAGTTTAACCAAGTTACAAGGAAAAAATTTTCAAGTGTACGTCTCGATCCAAATTCGAGGGTAAACATGAGGGTCATTTAAATATTTAAGGTCTTGCGTGTTCCTTGTGTTCAAAATATCTCAAAAACAGCTGCACAGATTTAAATTCCAGTTACAGGGATTGTTAGGTATGACCCAAAAATGAGGTGATTAAATTGGGGTGACCATCCGGCGTAGGGTGTGCATATGTAAACCAATTAAAGGAAAACGTCCCAGACCAGATATTTCAAAAACTAATCAACTGATGAATTAAACATTCATGAAAGCTTAACCGAGGTAAAAGGAAGAAATTATGGAGTGTTGGTGATTCAAATTCGGGTGTGCATTTGAGGGCCAAAAGGTCCCAGACAATATGATGACTAATTAATTTAATTTAAATATTCATCAAATAGCTATTGTTTCTGGCTACGGTAATACGGTAAAATTATACTTTAAATGATAATAACAATAAAAATTATTATTACTATTATTATTATTATTATTAATATTATTATTATCATTATTAATATTATTTAGATTTTGTTAATATTTAAAATTGGGGGAAAAGGGGGCGTAAACACATTTTTTCCTCCTCTAGTTTTTAAATATCATTAACTGTTCACGAGTTTTGTTGTTACACCCTTTCTTGTGTTTAAAATAATCAGTTGTACACATATCATTCTACTCTGAAGCCTAGCTTTAAAGGTCAGATTTAATTTTCAATATCTAGGATAAGCTTAGCTGCAGTAATAAATCATTTGCGAACACTGTTGTATATTTTGCTATAAGATACAAAGCAAATTATTTCTGGTATTTGTAGTGTCTATAGATGTCATTCGATAAATCTGTATTAGATAAACTCACTAAAATAAGTGATCATGTACTGCAAACACTTTTGTAGAGACCTTATCAACAGTATCCTAGGGGTAGAGATTAGCAGAATGGTCCACTATGTTTCACGTCGTAATTGTAACTGACTTTACAATGTATTGTAATGGAGTATTATAACTGTTCTATTAAAATGTCAATACAGCAGTAAATAGTTTTATTTTTTGACCTGTAAAAGCGTAGTAGCTAGAAAATATGGCAAGCCCCAGCTGTCTTAAGCCTACAAAAACTATTTTATATTATTTGCGTTTATTATTATATTATTTACGTTTATTATTTTATTATTTACGTTTATTATTATATTATTTAAAATTATTATTATATTATATATGTTTATTATTACATTATTTATGTCTGTTAGTATATTATGTACGTTTATTATCATATTATTTATGTTTATTATTATATTATATATGTTTATTATTATATTATATGCGTTTATTATTATATTATTTACATTTATTATTATATTAAATAATGTTTATTGTTATATTATTTACATTTATTATTATATTATGTATGTTATTATTATATTACGTACGTTTATTATATTATTCGCATTTAGTAATATATTATGTATGTTAATATTATTATAATACGTACGTTTATTATTATATTGTATACGTTTGTTACTATATTGTATATGTTTAGTATTATATTATTTACGTTGGTTATTATATTATGTACGTTTCATGTTATATTATTTATGTCTTTTATTATATTATGTACGTTATTATTATATCATATATGTTTACCATTATATTATGTACGTCTATTAGTATATTATGTACGTTTATTATTATATTATACATGTTTATTATTATATTTTATTATTACATGATGTACGTTTAGTATTATATTATATTATATACGTTTTTTTATTATATTATGTACGTTCAGTATATATTATGTGCGTTTATTAGTATATTACGTACGTTTTTGATTATTATATTACATACGTTTATTTTATTATTTACATATAGCAACATACGGTACTATTGACGTTATTTTTATATTATTTACGTTACTATGATATTATTTACGTTTGTTGTTACATTATATAGGTTAAGTATTATATTATACACGTTTGTTATCGTATTATGTATGATTAGTATTGTATTATTCACGTTTGTTATTATATTATGTATGTTTAGTATTATAATATTACGTCTATTATTATATTATGTATGCTTAGCATTATAATATTACGTCTATTATTATATTATGTATGTTGTTATTATATCGTTCATTTATTATTATATTATAAAAGTTTAGTATTATATTATCAATACACTATTATTAATTATGTACATTCATTATTATTTTGTTTAATTCACTATTATATTATCTCCTTCCTTATGGTGTTATACACATCACTATTATTTCATTGCAGTTCATTTGTATATGGCAGTTGAGCAGTATATTGTGGAAGTTGAACAGTATATTGTGGCTGTTCATTATCAACTTTTTATATTCCCTGTACAGAGGATTGTGGGCTGGCTGTTAGTAGGGCAATTCTTGACCCTAGGTCAGACCACAGATAACTGTATCTAGCTAGGCAGTAAAACCACAAGCTCGTACTAACAGCCTCTTGTTTTGACACAGAGGATTGGGCCTGTGGCAGAGTGACTTTTAGGAAGACTTCTGTCGTAGGGTACATGTGTTAACTACCTCTTAATTTTTCAACAATGGCAGTGTAGGGCACTTGTTAACCCTACCAAAGAAATTAGAGAAACACAAGTGCGGTGATTTTATGCTGTGCGACGAAATAAAATACCACCGTTTCCCCAATTCAGTCCAAACCAAATATCTTTGGTGTAGGCCTAAATAACCTTTCACAGGCACAGGCCGATTCAAAGAGGGGCCCACCTGCCCCCCCCCTAATTTTTTAAAAAAATTACATTCAAACTTCAAGTCTGAGTGTGCCATTTCCGGCCAATAGAGGCCATATTAATCGTAAATTTCTTATTTCAGTCCCGATGGTGGGGCTGAGGTGATATAGATCCTCCATCTGTCAACCTACCTCCTTGGGCTCTCTCTGTTTCAAATTCCTGGATCCTCCACTGGCAGTGGCAATTGGCAAGGTCTTTGGACTCATTGCTGGCACCTCATCAATGTTTTTTATTTATTTCATTGTGAAAAGGCCCTAGAAAAAATTTGGTAGGTGGGGGGGGGGGTCGTACGAACTTTCCCACTCCCTCCCTTGGGTACACCCATGCCTACTGTATATGGGTGTCTACAAAACGAAGCCCAAAGACCCGAAAAACAAAGACCCCCATTTTTTTTCTCTCAATCATGATGAAAATAATGTTCTTAAATCATTTCTTGCTATGTATATTCATTTTTCTACCATATTATTGCCTAAATCTGAGTAAATTTAATCTTTATTCCAGTTCAAAATGTGGAAGAAAACAAATTTTCGTGATTAAAGCGCACCTCTCAGTGTCATCTGCCGATGAATATGCGTTCTCTGGTGTTGAAAATTGGAAATATAAAAATTTCGTGTAAGTCTGGTTTGTGTGTATACTGTAGTAGTAAATGTAGTATAAATCTGTTTCGTATTCTCGAAACCTGGAAAATATGCTCGATTAAGTTGTTTATTTCGTCGCACAGCATAAAAACATCGCACTTGTGTTTCTCTAATATTTTTTTTAGGGTCAACAAGTGCCCTACACTGCCATAGTTGAAATATTAAGAGTTGACACATGTACTGCCTAGCTAGATACAATTATACTGCATCCTCTTTCGGTTTCGAATCACTAGGTGTTTCCCAGACGCTCGGCGGTATAACCAGTCTTCAAAACGTTAATCCATACCCTTCCCATCCTGCAACGTCCTCTTCTCTAAACTGCACGGCGTATAGACAGTTACAAATCAAAATATTGGTATATTTTGCTTTGCTTTTCGTTAACAGTGAGTAGTTTTTCTTTTGGCTTTGTTGTCACGTAGAATCATGTCTACATCTAAGAACGTAGGTGCTGAAAGTGTTCCTGAAGCCTTGGTTTCGGCGAATATTGGGGCTAAATTGGCTCAGCCCTCTGCCGCGAATTCACGCCTCCCGTTTGTGGGTCGTGATGTGGAGAGGGGTGCTTCATCGTGCCTCCCTATAGTGGGTCAAGATGCAGTAGACCTAGATAGTGTTCGCCTTCCATCAGTGAGTCGGGCGCATGTGGATAGCCCCTCACGCCTCGGTTTGTCCGGTCGTGAGGGAGTTCCGGATACTGGCCAAGGGGTTCATGTTATGAGTGAGCCCATTGGCTTCAATAGTTATCAGTTGGCCATTTTAGATCAGCGTCTGGACACTAAGTTTGATGAGCATCGGACGTCCCTTTTGGAGGACTCTGAGCATCGGTCTCGGTCTCGTTATCGGTCTAGGTCTTCTTGGTGTAGAGATGGTCGGTCTAGGCCAAGTTTATCTAGGTCTAGTTCTTCTGATAGTGAGTTTGGCCAGGGGCGCCGAGCGTCGTTGGAGTCCCCACGGGGACGCAGGGACAGGGACGATGATGCTTTGTCCGTTATGGCGTGTTCAGACAACGACGAGGTTGTTCCACCTCCTGAAGTGTTGAAGCCTTTGGCTCTGACTAACCCTCATCACAAGGATGAAGGAGTGGCCTATATCGCTCAGGTTCTCAGTTGGTGGCAGGAGCAGCGCACCAATATCGTTTCAGAAGACCAGAAAAAGGTATTATTGTCTGGGCTGGGCCCCAATTCGGAGGCGGAACCTTATTTTAAGGCTCCAGACATGCCGAAACCCTTGCGCTCAACCATGCAGGAGGCCAACTATGAATGTTGGAAAAGGGGCAATACTCTTTGGAGTATTCAGGAAGAGCAGACAATAGAGCATCCCATGTTGAGTGCGGAATGTCTGGCCAGCCTGGTTGGCAAGATGGTAGCGACAGCGGAAGACGTTATTCATGCGCCCGTTTACTTCAGGGCCCTTCAAAGAGATCTGATTCATTCGGTTCACAGGGTATGTGACTACATGGGAGGTGGTACCAGTTCTCGGATATCTTCGAGATCTTCCTGATTGGGGGGTATTATCCCTGAAATGGCTAACTTTGAAGTTAGTTCTTCTGCTTAGTTTGATCACAACAGGTAGAGTCTCGACTTTGGCCTCTATTAATTTGAATTCTTTTGGGGTGACCCCGTGTTCATTTCGGTTTATTCCAGCTAAGTTGTCGAAGCAAAGTCGACCAGGGTACGAGATTAAGCAGGTGATTATACCGGCCCTTGAGGACAAACGGCTATGCCCAGTAGAGGGTATGCTTCGGTACCTGGCAGCTACCAAGCCTCTGAGAGGCCTGGAGACGCAGCTGTTTATTAGTTATTTGAAACCTCATCACAAGGTGGTCACTTCTACTATTAGTAGATGTTTGTGTGCAGCTCTGAAGGTGGCAGGAGTGGATACAAAGTTGTTTAGGGCTCATTCGACAAGAGAAGCATCTGTCTCAACATCCCACAAGTTAGGGCTGTCAACTAAACAGATTTTGGAGGCTGCTGGATGGTCAACGCAGTCAACATTTAGTAGGTTTTATCACCGACCTATGGCTACGTCTTCGTTCTCACGTAGCCTTTTGACTTCGGTTTAAGGGTGTAGCTTTAAAGTCGCCTAGTGATTCGAAACCGAAAGAGGACGCAGTATAATTTAAGATTATGCAAGGGCTACTTACCTGCAGTATAATCTGGATTATACTAGTCCTCTGGAAGTGAGAATCACTTCCCGCCCTGTGGATCCGCTTTGTTGTTTTTTGCTCTCCCTAACTCGTGATTTCCACCATGTAAGAGGATTGTGTGTTGAGTTTTTTTTTTTTTTTTTTTTTTTTAGCCTATGCATATAGTTTGTTTGTTTTATGTAATTCGGAAGTACAGGGCAACCCTGCAGGTAATAACTTTAAGGGTGCTGTTGGAGTGACTTTTGGTTAGTTTGTATTGTTACCAAGGGTTATAAGTTTAATAAATCATTGTTTATACATAAGCCACAATTTCTTTGGTCTTGTGTTTGCATGTTGATATTTGTGGTATACGTAGACGAGCACAGTAGCCTATTCTGTTTGAAGAGGCAGTTCAGCTTCTATTCTTTAGAGGTGTATTACAGGGTTCGGATTTTTTGGAAGATACGTTGCCCGACCCAGGAAATCGTTTTGGTTCGAAGGTTGCATTGGATTTCCCCCTCCCGAAGCTTTGCACTTTAGAAAAGAGGACGTTGCAGGATGGGAAGGGTATGGATTAACGTTTTGAAGACTGGTTATACCGCCGAGCGTCTGGGAAACACCTAGTGATTCGAAACCGAAAGAGGATGCAGTATAATTGTATCTAGCTAGGCAGTACATGTGTCAACTCTTAATATTTCAACTATGGCAGTGTAGGGCACTTGTTGACCCTAAAAAAAATATTAGAGAAACACAAGTGCGATGTTTTTATGC